AGATGAAACACAATCTTTCAGCATAAAATAACACATACCAGCCTTCAGGTTCTGGAGCATAAATTTAACTTTTTTTTCTCTTTTGTAAACTAAGAATGTCTTTCAAATATCTTATTTATGTGCAACACATTTTGGAAATTTTAACCCATTTTCATAATTTAGACTTGGGAATAGACATAGTTCAAAGACCAGAGATATCTACAAACTACGTAGTTAGACCTAGGCCTTGGGGATATGTGAAGGCAGTTTTCCTGTCCTGTCTGCACGCAGAGTATGTAGTTTCACACCAGAAGCGTCTATCTGTGCTGATCCTGGGGCAGGGCCGAGAGGGGGTGGGAGGTTTCATTTTCTCCCTGAGATGAAGTTGTAGCAGAAGCAGACTCAGTGTGTTTCTACATTTTTGTAACAGTTTTATTTTATACTTCATTGTATTGATTAATTTTCAACAAAACTGAAAAGCTGGTAATTCCAAGCAAACAGCTATACATATGAATCATCAGTGTTCCAAAACATTTTTGTAACAGTTTTATTTTATACTTCATTGTATTGATTAATTTTCAACAAAACTGAAAAGCTGGTAATTCCAAGCAAACAGCTATACATATGAATCATCAGTGTTCAAAAAAAAAAAAAAAAAAAAAAAAAAAAAAGCATTGATTTTAACTATAGGCAGGATTTTGTTTTGTTTGGTCTGCAAGTACTACATGTGTTCTAAAGCTTTTGGGAAACAACTTTTTCAAACAGCTTAGAGGGAGTCATTTATTAAGGTTCCTTGGAGCTTAAACTTTCTAAAACCAAATTATGGGCAGATACATTTTATAAATATATTTGTCCACATAAATACAGAGTTTGTTCTTCAACACTTATTTTTTCTACTTTAATTCTAATGAATGAAATAACAAATAGCAACTCTCAAAAAACAGTGAGAAACATGCCCTTGTAAAAATTGTACTTTAAGAAGTATTAAACTATTAAATCCTTCTAACTGACAATTGCTGAAACCGGTTTGGCTCAGTGGATAGAGTGTCGGCCTGAGGATTGAAAGGTCCCAGGTTCGATTCCGGTCAAGGGCATGTACCTTGGTTGCTGGCATATCTCCCTCTAACTGACAATAAATAAGAATTTTCTTGTCAAATATAGAAGATTTCCTCAATGAGAAGTTTCCCATCGTTTCTTATTATGCATTATTTTAGTGCAGCGACTTCTCACCACTTAGACTAAGGTCGTCTGCAGGTCTCGAGAAGTTTGATTCAGAAAATTTTAAAGTCATGCCACAAAGAAACATATATATTTCATGTAAGCAAACATATTCATCTAATTTTAAAGACATTGCCGAACTAGTGAACTCTCAGCCCTGTGAATTTATGAAGAAACAGTATGGTTCTGATAGCTAATGTTTAATTAATTATCATATCTTTCCCAGATTCTATATCCAAAGTCAAGTGCTCCGGATGGGGAAAGAGAGGTATATATGTGAGTTGATTCTGAATCTATTTTCAGGTTATTTTAATATTGTATTTCCTCCTTGCAGTCACTCAAGAAACAGTCATCAGTGCCTGGTTTGCAACAGGCACTGTAGTGAGCACAGAGATACAAAGATAAAACAAATTTCCTGGCCTCAAGCAGATGATAGCTCAGTGTGGGAAGCAAACATGGAAACACATACAATAAAGATGTTTGAAACATGATAAGAGGAGGTATAAGGTCAACTCTGTCAGCATGGTAACAAGGAAATGAAGAAGAATGTTCCTGAGTCAACTTGAAAGATGGGTACATATTTGCATGTGGGCCAAGAAAAGGGAGAAGGAAGAGTCTGAAAGGAGAGAAAATAGTGGCAAAGGCCTAGAGACTGAAACAGAATAAATTTGGGAACAATGAGTGGTAAGTAAGGTGTGATTAAAATGAATGTGGAGAATTTGACACAGCTTGAGGATGGCTAGGAAGGCATGCTAAGGATTCAGGATTTGATCTTACATAAGTAAACCCTATATAATAAAGAGGGAATATGCTAATTGACCCTCACATAGTCACAAAGATGGTGACATCCACAGCCAATAAGGAGAAAATATGCTAATTGACTGTCACACCCTCAAAGATGGTGGCACCCAGTCCCCTCAGCCCCACAGGGGCGGCAGGTGCATAGCAAGGCTGGGCCTGCCCCCAGGTGGGCCCTGCCACTCTATGTGCCTGCCTCCAGAGTCCCCCAGTCCCATCAGCACCCCAGCCACCCAGGGTAGGCCCAAGTTCTGGCAAGCCTCAGATGGCAGCTGTCCAGTCACCCAGGGCTGGCCTGAGGTGCAGGTAACCACACGGCTAAGGCTTATGCTTCCAGCAGTGGCAGCAGCAGAGGTGTGATGGGACATCACCTTCCCCTGATCGCCAGGTCACCTCCCGTCCCTGAGGGCTCCCAGATTGTGAGAGGGGGCAGACTGGGCTGAGAGACCCCCTCTCCAGTGCATGAATTTTCATGTACTGGGCCTCTAGTGTAATAATAATAATAATAATAATAATGATAATAATTGTAATAACTAATATTAAGCACTTTTTCTGTGCCATGCATTGGTATCATTCATTTACATGAATTGAATTAATTTAATCTTCACATCAACTCTATAAAATCATTATTATTAGTTATTCTCTTATTACAGATAAGGAAACTGAGGCAAGGGAGGTTAAATACTTGACCAAAGTCACACAACAAGTAGTGCATCCAGAAGTCCACCCTACGTAGTCACATTCTTGATTTCTGGTTTGTGTGCCTACCTAAGGGGCTGGTAATGTTTTTTTTCAGCAGAGGATGATATCAGATTTTATTTTGGTACGATCACTCTCAAGGCCATGTAGAAGGCTGAAGATGGAGGGCAGGTAGGGGTAGTTAGTGGAAGAAGAATCTAGATAGACCAATTTGGAGATTGTTCAAAGATCCAAACAAGAGGCAATGACTATCTCAGCCAAGAAATTCTAGAAGAAACCCAGAAACCCTACCAGGTCTTGGGAAGGCTTGGCCAAGGAGGACCTAGTGTATTTGACACACAGAGAACTTGCGAACTTGCTTTTTAGTGTGCCCTCCAGCTCTATACAAAAAATATGTTCAATTAAAAACCATATAATGGAACAAATGACAATGACCAGAAAAGAAACATAAATACTGAATATTTCTTATATTGAAGTCTTATATGTAATCATGCCAGAAAAATTACCGATTAAATAGAATTTTGGCCGAAGCCGGTTTTGCTCAGTGGTAGAGCGTCGGTCTGCGGACTGAAAGGTCCCAGGTTCGATTCTGGGCAAGGGCATGTACATTGGTTGCGGGCACATCCCCGATAGGGGGTGTGCAAGAGGCAGCTGGTCAATGTTTCTCTCTCATCGACGTTTCTAGCTCTCTATCTCTCTCCCTTCCTCTCTGTAAAAAAATCAACAAAATATATTAAAAAAAATAGAATTTTGTACAAAAAAGAATTAATACTTTAAATTACTTTAATATATATTTTGAGAAAAAAGAAACAAGTATTCCTTTATGTATGAATACAGTCCAAAGCAATACTGAGTAACAATAAAGATGAGCAAATTGTTCTCAGGAAGCCCATGGATCTAAGAGAGAGAAGAAGCCTAAACGAACATTTGTTTGGGCTCAGTCCTGGAGCATAAGTAGAATTCATCAGGTAGCCGGGAATAGGGCTAAGGAAGGGCACTCCAGGAAGGAGGAATGGAGTAGGGAAAGACATGCATGGTGATGAGGCTGGAAGAAGGAGCTCTGCACGTTCTTGGCTTGAATCAACCTTGGAGAGGGGCAGTGGGGAGTCCATGAGTGAGAAGGACTGGAGAGGAGAGGATGACATTAGAGAGATTGGTGGGACCAAATGCCAGTGGTTTTGCACACTCCAGAAAGCTTTTTCTTAGGAAGATAGGAGGCAGTGCGGGGGTAGACCCGCTAGGGTGATGACAGGAGAGGCAGAAAGACCCAGGAAGGGTAATTGGGTCCTAAAGGCAGCCCGTGACAGTTGGGGTGGGAAGTAGATGTTTTCTTCTCCTCCTGGGCTACAGGCAAATGCCCGAGTCTCAGCCTTCACTAGACCCTGTTTGTTTTTCACTCCAGTAGCCCAGTAGGTGTGCCTCACACAGACTGGGTGCTGTAACTCGCACTGAATAGCGTCTTACACAGTGCCCGTGGATAGGAAGTGTGTGCTCTTTAGGAAAGGTGACAGTATGGGCTTAGATCAGACTGGGCAAATTTATTATTAGTGTTCCCTTTCACTCGTAAAAGTATCCTGCTTTTGATGATAAATTATATGGTAACAGTATCTTTGGGTAACCCCTCTCTAAGGGTCCTTGGTGAGTTTTTAGTTTGTGGAAACTTAATGGTGGTGAGGATGGGAAGAAGTCATGGACCTCATTTCTGTCTGGCCCATCCCATCTCTCCATTCTGCACCCTGAAAAAATTCCCCTGCCTGTCTCCAGAAGAATTAAGAAGGATTCAACCTCGAGGGAGAGAGGAAAGAGTTTTGGAATGAGACTGTAGAATACTAGATTCTGTCTCCAGCTCTGCCCCAGACAAGCTGTGCAGCCTTGGGCAAGTTGTCCACCGCCTGGGCCTCATGGTCCTCAGAGGCAAGCGAGATCTCTTCCAGGGCTAATTAATTCCCAAAGGGCCCACTTTCCGGAAGCTACCAAACCACGCAGCTCCAGGCACCCTCACCTGCGCCTGAGCATCACCTCCAACCCCAGCTCTGTGCACAACGCACCACAGGTCACTTTTCCTGTCTCTGCCTGTGGGTGTGATCGCCTTCGCTAGCTCTTGAAACACAAAACTCTCTCAAAGCTGGTCCTAAAGCAGCAAGAATCCCGATTCAGACCGCAGTTAAACACTGGCCGAATACAGTTGGTCCTAACCCGCCCACCCTACCGCGCATTCCCTGTAAGCCCCAGCAGGCCTGCTCCAGCCCACTTCAGCTCCCCACAGGCGTGGCAAAGGCTTTATGCCATTTATTTTTCTGTTTTACCTTGAATCCCTCTTCCCAGCCCCTCCTCGGCGCAGGGACAAATCTCTGCTCCTCAGCCGGCTGGGAAGGTCCACAGCCCATGCTGCGCGCCGCGCTCCTCCGGCGGGGCCCGCTGTGCGCCCCCGCGCTCCGGGCCGTGTTCCCGCGCCCCAGCAACCCGCGCCCTACACCTCGGTCCCTGCTCCCAGCGCCTCCGCCTCTTCCACCTCCAGCACCTCAAGGCGCTGGGCACCTGAGCAGTTGCCGGGAACTGTTGCCATAATAAACCGAATCACCGGAACCTGGGAACTGGGCGGCGAGGGAACTTCTGTAACTGAAGACTGGAAGACGGAAGACGTCTGAATCACACCTGAGATGCAAACAGCGGCGCTCTCCAAAGCGAACCGAGGCAAGGGCCAGCTGCTGGCCGAGTTAGTGTTTAAAGTATCATAATCATAAGCATCCTGCGTGGACTTTATTTTCTCTCTCTAAGGTTCCTGGGTATACGCCCCCGCCTGCGGGGGCTTAGACTAAGCCCTCGAGTTGTTGGCTCTGAGCTTCAGACTCGGCGGGGACAGCGCAAAGAGAGGAGGATTGTGCGAGTCCGATTGGTGGAAGCAGCTCTGGGGACCAGTGGGCAGCGAAGGCTCCCTGGAGAGCTCCAGACGGCAGTGTCACAGGGCGGCCACCGGAGAGGCCCGGCACGCTAACAGAGATCCAGATATTTAGGATCATAAACAGCTCAGCAGCCGGGAAATGGGTCATGCGAGTCATTTTTATGGAAAAGGTGCTTAATGAGCTGTTAGGAAATAGCACAGATATGCCTATTTCTCTCAGAGAATTAAATTAAAAGGGCGTAATGCATAAAAAAAAGGCAGACCAGGCACACCGCTCAAATGAGCATCAAGTTGTTCCTTCGTGGATTTTTTTTTCTTTTTATTCTATTTTAAAAAATTAAAACAAAAAATAGGAGCCAAAAGGGATTTTACAGATCATGGACCAAACGTTTATTTGACAAACTGCAAACTTAGGCTCAGTGAGACTGAGTGACTTAGATTTGTGTGTGTGTGTGTGTGTGTGTGTGTGTGTGTGTAAGGGGTGGGAGGGTGGAAGGGGGAACTAGTTAATGAGGGATCTGTGATGAGGAACCTGGTGGCCTGACTCAGACCCTCTAGTCATCCACCTAGGAAAATACCAGCAAGGATTCTTGGAAATGTAATACTGTTGGATCCTTCCACGGAAATTGATGGTCAACTCTGTTATAAGATGCTTATTGTTTACTTTATAGTATTTAAATGCATTCCACTCTTTCTCCTTATTGCTTGGATGATGTTGTCTGTCAACTTTTCTTTACTAAAATTGAAGACAAGAAAAAATAAAATCCAAATCAAAGCATTATACTTATTGAGCAACAAGCATTACAAAATTGTGAATCAAGAGTGGAAACAGGGCTAAATAGTATTTGGGGGACATCTCTGAAAATCAAAACAAAACTCATGGCATAAGTCACATGAAATGTTCCAACTGGAATCTGGAAAATTGTCAACCAGAATAACCCAGCACAGGGAACACCTGTAAAATGTTCTTGAGAAAGTTTAATGAAAGTATATAGGGTGAACTGTAAGTGTGAAATAAGGCAGACAACGTTTTCCCCTTTCTTGTAAGGCAATCTGCAAACAGAGGTTTGCTGGGACATCCACGTGAATAAAAGGGGTGGTATCCAAATATATTGTACAGGTGTCTTTTAAGGCATCCGTATGCCTACAGTCTGAAGTTGTGAAAATGCCTTTTCCTGTTGATGTGCTAGAGCCTGCTCATGCTGTCTCATGAAAGCTGATTGTCGAGAATATTTGGACCTGGTCATTCAACACAACCATCATTAAAATGTAGGTTATATAAACTTACAATTAAATTAGTTCTAGTAAAAACAAAGGTAACCAGTACAACTCATGAGTTGCTAATCATTTTATTGCAGTTCACTCCTATTACGTTTCTGAGTTTATTTATGTCTGTTGTACCTGTATAGAGCAGCTGTCATATAATGGTGGGCTGCTGCATGCCTCTTCCCCAGTCCTCGTTCAGCGACATCACATTGGCAGTTTGAAATCAACCAAGGTGGGAATACTGGTAAGCGCACTGTGAAAACCAGAGCTTCTTCCCTGCCTTCCCCAAGCTGCTAATTAAGCATCTACCAGCTCACTCTACCTTTCCCCCCTGTATTCCAGAATGCCAAGGAATGACTGCTCTGTTCACCTTCTCCTATGCAGTTCTTTCTCTGCAAGGAAGGGGCATCGGTGACCCCGGCTCTCCACAGGGGACAAGTGTGTATCACACCCACATCTCCCTCCATCTGAGAGCTGGGCCCTATACTAAGGCTCGGTGCCCTGGTCCTGGATAACCTGTCCACCCTGAACACTGCTAGGGGAAAAGTGCTTAGATTCTCCCAAAGCAGAACCACTACTTGCTCATTTTAAAGTTTGACTCCAATCCTTGCTTTTTCTTTGCAATTCTGAACCTTCGTGAGAAGGTTAATTCTCTGCTTCCCTCCAGGATGTTTATTTAAGCTTGAGGTTTGTCTTGAGCATTTTTCTCTGGAATGATAAAGATATTATAAAGAGAGGTGCCTCTCAAACTCTAATGTGCACACCCTGTGGATCTTGTTAAAATACAGATTTTGAATGGCTTGGGGGGGTGTGAAAATACTACATTTCTAAGAAGCTGCCATCACTGTTAGTACAGGCTCACACTTGAAATAGGAAGAGTATAGAACACATGTGAACATTAAAGTATTACTTCAAAAGACAGAAACTAAAGGGGGAGTATGGAAGGAAGAATAAAAAGTGAGGAGGAAAATGATGGGGGAGAATTAAAATGAAGTCTATTGCCTGGCCGGTGTGGGTCAGTGGTTGAGCATCAACCTATGAACCAGGAGGTTACTGCTCTATTTCCCATCAGGGCACATGCCTGGGTTTCAGGCTGGATTCCCATCAGTGGGCAGCCCATCAGTGATTCTCTCCCATCATTGATGTTTCTATTTCTCTCTCCCTCTCCCTTCCTCTGTGAAATAAATAAAAAAAAAAATGTACTTTTAAAAAAGTAAAATAAAATCAATTAGGCAATCAAGTATAGAAGAGACACTAACTTCATTTTATCAAGGTATTCTCAGTCTAGGAGCACCTTGATGCATCAAATTACAACTAGGAGTGTCACCAGTTCCTGTCCGTCTACCTGGCAGAGAAGGGATCTTTGTGAATTAGTGAGTCAGGGTGAAGAAGAAGAAAAAACAAACAAAACCTTTCTTAGCTCTGGAGTCACTTCCCCCTCTTCTCTCTGGTCTGAGAGAGTCGCCCTTCCGGGGTTGGCTAATAAGCCAGAGAGCAGAGAGGTTTCCCTGCAGGCATTGGTGTATCCAGGCAGGGTTGGTGCCACACCAATTAAGGGTTTTAACCGTCACATTGGAGCCTTTCAACTTCATTTCAGACCCTGATCTTTTTTAGGAAATGGGGAATCACACAAAGAAATCAGTTCTGAGCCCAATTCACTGAGTTTACTAGCATTCTTCCAATGAATAGAAATATTACTTTCTATTCTATAATAGAAGTATTTTTCGGACCATAAGATGCACCGGACCATAAGACGCACCAGTTTTTAGAGAAGGGAAATGAAGAAAAAAAGATTCTGAAACAAATAGTGTCCTAAAATATTTTATGTGCATTAAAACCCAACATCACAGTCATAAACACATGTAATCAACCCTGTAAAGTAAACAGCAGCATTTAGAACCATTTTAGAGCCGGGCAAGCACACAGAGACCACACAGAGCCGGGCAAGTAAAAAAACTTTTTTTTTAAAGTATATATGTAGGCTATATTTGGACCACAAGACGCAGGGACTTTTTCCCCCCACTTCTGGGGGGAAAAAAGTGCGTCTTATGGTGCGAAAAATATGGTATATGCTGACCTTTATTCCCAAACTTAACTCAAGACTAATTATTATAGTAACAGCTGACATTTTCAATGCTCACTAACATTTAGATGAATGAGGGAAGCTGATGACTACGTTGCTATTCTTCACAGTCAATTATTGGCTTAAAGCAAGGATTGGAAAGCTATGCTCCCCCCCCCCCACCCCCCAGCCCTCTAACCCCCTGGCCAAACTCCACTCACTGTCTGTTTCTGTCTGACACATGAGTTAAGAATGGATTTCATATTTTTTTAATGGTTGGGGAAAAAAGAAAAAGGGAGAACATTATCAGTGATTCATGAAAATGATATGAAATTCAAATGTCAGTGTTCACAAATAAAGTTTTATTAGAACACAGACATTCGTCTGTTTACACTTTATCTATGGCTGCTCTTGTGCTACAGGAGCAGAGCTGAGAAGCTGAGACAGAGACCATATGGCCCACAGAGCCAAAAATATTTATTATCTAGCCTTTTATGAAAAATGTTTGCTGATCTCGGATTTAAGATGACAGAGAAAGTAATTCCCACAAGGGTATTAAATAACTATGCCGAGTCCTAATGGGCTGAAAGAGCTTGTAAGGCTTCCAGATGGGCAAGAAAACCTCCTAGGGAGCAGCTGCCACCCAGGGGAATGTCTCTCGTTACCTAACTAAACTCCAGGCCTGCAAAACATTTTCAGCAGCTTCATTCAGCTGCTAAGACCCTCCCCGGTGTTGCTTGGAGCACCCTGTTCAGGAGGGCTGCTGCGTGGGGACAAAACCTCTCTGTGTTGCTCTGCTGCTTTGCAACTCTAGTCGTAGCTCCTGGGGAAAGAAAAGACAGAGCTGATTGTAAGAAATGGGTGGCATTTCAAGAGGCATTTTCCATTTAAAGACCCCATTTGTTCTGGTTCTTCGTGTTCCTCTGTCAGGCACTTCAACCCAAACATTGTATTTCTGGAAAGCAGTCCTCTGCTGCGCCCGCGCACACACTGAGTGGCTCAGACGACATGAGGGGCCTCCGAAGTTTTTATCCCTGGAATCCCCTGGGGCGGTGGCCTCAGTCACAGTACCAAGTGCACTTAGAAAGCTCGGGAATCTGTCTACAAACTGTTGTGTGCTAAAGAAAACTCTTATTATAAAGGAAAACTGTACCAGGATATTGTCATTAAGCACACACATACAACAACACATGTGCATAATCAAGATTTTTGCAATCCATGTGCAAACGTTTGCAGTAGCATCAGCAGTGAATTAATGGAGTTGCCTCAACATGTAGCGTGCAAGCACAACCCTTCCAGGGACTTGATATGACAGATTCTTGCAGAGAACAACCAGAAATAAATAAATAAGCCCACAAACAGGGGAACAATTGTTTGCCAAACCTTGGCAGGAAGCCAACAATCTCAATGTTTGCTCATTCAACACAAACTGGGTAAATACAGAGAGAAAACACCAACCTTGGGGGAAATAGCTCAGAGAGTGGAAGCTTAATAGTAAATTCAGCCATAATAATCTCATAGAATTATAAGACACCCATTTACAT